CAGGAAGTTCAAAAACAAATGGGCAAATTCAAGAAGCCATTATCAAACACAGTAAAGTTTAACAGTCCAAAATTGAAAGCAATTATATGGCAGAAATACGAATGGTTTGTGTGAGAGAGACGTATCTGAGCACAACTCTTGTTCAATTGCACATAGAAGAAGTCAGCCATACAGGTCTCATAAACTTCCAAACACTGAATTATGGTCCCTGAAATCAGACTTGAAATCTTCGAGCAAATGAAAGTGGAGAGTGGAGACCACTGATGCAGACTTAATTAACATTCTAGTTTCCAGTGGCTGAGCACAGAGTGGCAACCTTTAGGACCACCTTCCTGCAATTTGCTTCCATAAAATTGTTAAAAGAATTACAAGCAAAAGAGCTGAATATCTTGGGAACTGTCAGACAATGAACACAGCAAGAGTTCAACCGTCTTTATAATCTTTGTGGCCCCTTTCAGAAGATCCAGTATGATAAGGACTCAAGTTTTATGGAACCTACACTTGGAGCTAGATACTCTACTTTTAAATGATCCTCACGTTCTACTCAATCTTACAATATCTGAAACATTGAAAAAATTATATATGTTCTAGACAGGTAGCCATCAAAGATTGATCCCCACATCGAAATAATATCCAGATTGACCAATTGAACTCAATTTTCTAATTACATTTCAAGGTTGAAGAAATGACATTAGAGTCGCACTTAACTTCCTTTCTTCGAACTTCTGTACAAGATCTTCAGCGTCAAAATTTGGAACAGACAAAAGTAATGAACCCATAATACATCCAGATTCCAAACAGAACATATTTTTTCCCATGTAATGATAACCCATACAAAGAAGTCATGTAAAATAAAAACATGACAGGAGATATCATTAAATTCCTGCGAGCACATTCAGATTACAGTATGTTTTCCTAAATTGAAATAACTCAGCCATTGCACTGTTGTTCATGGCTCTCCGGATGGACCGTTTGAGTACTCGCCCCCTGCAAGACTAGATGTTCCATTAGGTAAGCGATTTGTGCTGGTGGAATTAGGATAAGGAGAATATGCAGAAACAGAACTGCCTCGTGAATACCGGCTCTGTGTAGCTGTACTACTTCTTGTCACTTTGAGACGAGCCTTTCTACCCTATAGTATAGATTAGACAGTTGATGAGTAGAGTGAAAAGAGATTTAAAAAATAGAAGCAGAATGTGTGAACAAAACATATATCAATTAAGGGGTAGAGAGTTACCCTTCCCATGCATTTCTCCAAATGCGGGGCAAATCTCCCAGCCACGATTGATCGACCACAGTTCATGCAATCAAATATTTCGCTTGCAACAGAAGGATGATTTTGTCCAAAAATATCAACTACATATTTTCCGTTTGCTTCACTACTATTGCTAGAATCAGCTACTCTTACTCGCGCCTGTGCCGAAAGTCTTAATTCTTCTTCTTCCTCTTCTAAGTTACGATCAAGACCTAACCTTGCTATTCGATGGCATTCCGATGCAACATCAACAATCACGGAATCCAGGAGATCCCCAAAGAAATTAGATGAAAGCTGCAAATATAAGCAGAAAGCAACAGAAGTACCCGTTCTGTTAGTTCTATGTCCTGAAAAAAGGAAGTTAAAAGCGATCACTAATACCACTACTACCATACTTGTGCTTTCATGGCATGTTTGACACATCAAGCATACTCCGGCAAGCCCTTTTTTAAGAATACTACATTCAATGTTATAAAAGGTTGCTTTGAGGTAAGACTCTAACTTATAGCCTCAAGATTTGTGTCATCTATGGACCATAAGAGACTTACACCTTCGTGAAAATGCATTGAGGCTTAAAGGCTTTATGCCACATGCAATGATTGGAGGAATAATATTAATTTGTCCCATTCTTCAAAAGATATAAAAGTTTTAGTTGTGACATTATAAATTATTACTACTTTTACTACCCATGCTCCAAAAACATAGATGACAAAAACTATGGAACAAGTCAATCATATTATTGATAATAGTAATCATGTTAAAAATATCCTTTTAGAATTTTGGGTTAAGTTGCTATTTATAGGGGTGGTTTTTTTTTTATACTTTTATATAATTTCTACTTCATCATACAAACTTAGGATTTGTATAATGTTTTCAAATAAAGTTGAGGTCTACTCCTTTTGTGGCCTTGAGGCTTACATCTTGCCTCTTCAAGAGAAAAAGCCTTAAGGTCACACCTTTATCCTTTTAAAAACCTTGATGATATCGTAAGTAGGGTAGAGAAATTCAAACCTATGACCTCTTAAAGAAAATATAGATGTCTAAGCTTATATTAGCATTAGACCAGCCTTTTCTCACACGTGAAAATAGTTAGACAGAGCTTTCAAATAATTCATTGAGTTTGACATGTTGGTTTAGGTGTTGACAGACCGCTGCTAACATAATAAGATCTATCAAAAGAACCAACCAGACGCACATCACTCATCCAAGCAATCGAGGGAGAAATATCATATATTGTACACACAAGACTTCACATTTTTGACAATTCTATTTCTGGAAAATGCCAACGACAATTAAGAAAATTTACTGCAAAGAGTAACGTATTAGAAATCTTTTTTTTTTTTTTCTTTAAAGAAATTCTAATCCATTTACATAGACACATACACTTTGGTGCAGATATAATCACACAAACAACAAAAATGGAGTTCGGGTGCTTTTCCTCATATCTAGAAACCAATTTGGTCGACTATCATCAAACTGAGGTGGGGGAAATCTGTGAAATAGAGCTTACCAGTTGGGAAGGTTCTTTTTGGTTAGTTAGGAACTGATTGGGCTAATTAGGTGAAGATTAATTAATTGCTTGTCAGTTATTCTAGTTAGACTGTAAGGCTTGTAAACCGTTTATAACAGTGATATTAGACCATTGTACTCTTGTCTTTGCATATTTCATATCAGCAATTAAATCAGGCTTTGGTTCTATACCATAAACATAAACAAAGACATTGTAGCTGTTGCCTTCATTTCTCATTATTCATATACTAACGTGCTAAATAAAAATAAGAAAAAGAAGAACAAATGTATAGGAAAAGGCTACCTGAGATGATGCATTGTCCTCATCAGGCATTGACATGGATCTAGAAGAAGGAAGAGTTTCAATACAGACCTGGAAACATTATAACCAGGAAAAATGTTGCAGCACAATGACTAAACCAATTTATAGAATCATCATTCCATTCAATAACCGAAATTGAATAAAAGACGAAATCGAAGTACGCAAGAACCGGTAGAAGGATTAACAAATTCTTAAATTATCAAACATGTAAAGGTCACCAAACCAAACAAGTAAAGCAATATATATATTAACATTCTAAAATCATGCAAACTAGTATCAAACGCAAGCATTTCTGGAAAATTGATTATACAAGAAAGTTCGTGAAATCAGGCAAATCAATGGAAACGGAGACAAATGCAGAAAGCAATCGCTGAACTTACTGATATGGATAGCGACTACAAATCCAAGCTAATTGGGAGCCGACATGACTGCATAAAGGGGAAGAACTAGGAAGTAAAAAGAAGATTCATCGAGAAGAAGTGGGGGAATAAATATGTTAAATAATAATTTAAAATTTAAAAAAATATTGAAAAAGTTCCGTTGCCGGGAATCGAACCCGGGTCTCCTGGGTGAAAGCCAGATATCCTAACCGCTGGACGACAACGGAATTTGTTGACATAAGTTTATTATTTTATATTTTATCAACTTATTTTTATGTTTAAAATAAACTAAATTAATAAAAATACTAACTTTCGAAAATACCCGTTTTAAATTAAAACCATTAATACTTTATTTCAAAAATATCCTTAAATTTTAAAATGTTTCATTAATACTGTTTTAACTTTAAACAAAAAAAAATAAAACGAACTTTTAAAAATCGCATTAATACTCTTAACTTAAAAATAAAAAAATAAAAAAGATAAAAGACATTTTTTAACCTTTAGAAAATATGATATTATACGCTATGTATTGATATGCTACATTATGTCATGCTATGTCATGTTACACCATGATGAGCTATGTTATGCTATTGATAAACCATGATATGATCATGCCTTGATATATAATAGTATTATGAAATTTGGACACTATAATGCATAAATGTTCGTCGAAAATGTCATCGAAGCTAAGTTATGTAATAGAAATTGCACAGATATTATGTTAGCATAATTCACACACTTACTATGTTAGAGACGTTGGAGGTTTGTTTTGCATCACTTATAATGTCATGACTATAATTTATGGGAATCTCATGCGATTTTATGTGACACGTGCATTGGGATACTTTCCCACTATAATTTGTATGGATGTGTGCAATATGATATATGACTCATGACATTATATTTATCATGATGTATTGACAGCCCTTCCCCCTCCGTGGTGTTTGGCAAAGAGCCCATTAGTGAGTGTTGGTTCAGCAAGCGAGGGTTAGGGGGTGTGCAAGCCCACCTGGTGGGTCCATTCTAACACATGTGGGTCATGTGGAGACAAGTACTACACACCCAACCTCGCCCAGATGAGATAGCTGTCTAAGGTCATGATATACTATGATAAAAGAAAAGGTCCTCATGTTGCATGTGTTTGCATTCTTTACTCCCCTAAGTGTTTGTTAAAATACTCAAGTCATACTTTTACATTTTAAGTAAAGGCGAGACACAGTGTACGAATGACGACGACGTCACATTAGAGCTCGTGAAACCAGTATTAGGGTAGCTACATTTTTATTTTGCTTATTAGTCTTAGGTTAGCACGAGACATTACTTTATTTCCTAATTTTTGTAACTTATTTATTATTATTTTTGTTTCTCAAATTTTGTTGGTTTGATTTAAAGATTTTATTTTTGACGTATAAGTCCATGATATTGTTTATGAACTATTTAAAATGAAAGTTTCTATCACGTCATACTTATGGTAACAACTTTATAGTAGAAAAATAGGATCGTTACAATAGAATTGTTATAATAGGATCATGTCTCCATAAAAATAGAGTCGTTATAAAAATAGAGTCGTTACAATAGAACGAACGGTATCCCGAAAATCTATTCAAAGTCTAGACTACACAACAAACAAGCAGGATTTGTAAGAAATCCCCAAATTTCCCTATTCTTCTGGGAATAGCAACTTTGTTTGTTGGCCCCAAATGCTAAAAAACTAGGCTCCCCACCAGAAAGGAAGTGAGTGGAACAGTGAGGTTATCATCAATCTCAGTGCTAATGGGGAGAGACTCAACCAATGCTGAGGCAAGAGACACAACTAAGAATCCCAAAACCATTCTGCTGCTTCCCTCTACGTACCCAAACGAGGAGAAATAGTACATATACCTGCCATTCACAATGCAACCTCTTATATCTAAACCAATCAAGAAAGATCACAAACAGACTAACTCGTAGCTCGATGGTCGAGTTCGAAAGAAATTACCCAACAGATGCAAGAAAGCCAGCAGATGCCATTGCTACACTACCAACTATAGACTTGTTTTTGTTGTATGAGATCTTTTGAGTTCCAAATCGTCTTCCAACGATATCGGCCACCCCTGAAATAGCAACGTGTGAAAAATGTTACGAGGACTTGACGTCGTTGCGTCGGTTAAGCTCTAGATATGTGCTTAGATAAAAGTGAAAGTACCATCTCCAGCACACAAGTTGCATATGAGAGCAATTGAAATGGGGGACGTCCTCCAATAGAATATGCAAACTAATGTAATTGTTGCAACATAATACAATGGTCCCTTCAATAGCTCCCTGATGGATGAAAATATGCAGGTCAAATTAAAAAGTATGTACAATGGCACACAAAAGGCGTCCTCAACTACTCGTCGAAAACGACTCGAATCCAAAAGAATAAGACCAAGCTGATAATTTCAAAAGGTTTGATTAACGGATGTCCAAAATGAAGAAATAAAGCTCACCACTTTTGTGAGTATCATCCAACATCTGTATGCACATAATAGTTCTTATTCTGTGGCATTCTCTTGGTGGAGAACATTTCGTGTACTAGTGTTGTACAGGAGTATAAATACTAACAACCACTAATTTTCAGCCATATGGAATTAGTAAATGATATGACAATTGGACCAAAAGCCTTCCAAAAGCATCGAACTAATGGATAGTTTTGCTTCTCAAACAATCAACGATGGAGATACTACATCGATTGAGGAAGGGAACGAAGTATTCTTTACAAGGGTGTAGAAACCTCTCCCTAGCAGACGAGTTTTAAAAACCTTGGGAGAAGCCCGAAAGGGAAAGCCCAAAGAGGACAATATTCGTTAGCGGTGGGCTTGAGCTATTACAAATGGTATCAGAGTCAGTCAATGAGGAGGTTGAGCACGGAAGGGGTGGTCATCAAGCAGTGTGCCAACGAGGACGCTGAACCCCAAAGAGAAGTAAATTGTAAGATACCAAATCGGTTGGAGAGGGGAACGAAGCATTCTTTATAAGGGTGTGGAAACCTCTCCCTAGCATACACGTTTAAAAACTTTGAAGGGAAGCCCGAAAGGGAAAGTCCAAAGAAGACAATATCGGCTAACGGTGGGCTTGGATTTAAGCTGTTACATAAGCTATATACTTCATTTTAACAGCCAAAGAACTCGCAATACCAAGGAAGACAGCATTCATTTGGTTAACTGTATGTATAGCCAGAGATTGATCTTGATAGGAAGCTCAAATCAACTAACACACAGGCACCCCAAAAACTTATCTAACATGATTATGTTCTTACGAAGTTGTACCTGTAGTCTCCATATCTGGTCATTGACTTTACTGTGGCCTCATCTTTCACGATTCCCAATCCAAAGACAAGCATTCGTATTATATTGACACCGGGAACTAGAGAGGCCAATATCGCTCCTCGACGACCAGAACTGCAATAAGGAGTATAGCCACATTTGATTCAACCATATCTGTGCAAGTACAGATAGCAAGAGAAGGGGCAGCAGAATTAACATTTTTTCAGTCTTAAGGTCACCTGAACATAGGCCAGCAAAGCATGAAAGCAAGCCCAATGCTTATATGAACAAGCTTCCTGTTCAATTTCTGAACCAAGTATAGGTAAGTAAATTCCTTTGACAAAAGATCAAAATAGGTTTAACGGCCGAAGCCCACCGCTAGCAAATATTGTTCTCTTTGGGCTTTCCCTTTCGAGCTTCCCCTCAAAGCTTTAAAACACGTACGTTAGGGAAAGGTGTCCACACCCTTATAAAGGGTGTTTCGTTCTCCTCCCCAACCGATTTGGGACCCCCATCAAGTCCACCCCCTTCGAGGCCTAGCGTCCTTACTGGCATACTGCCTCGTGTCTACTCCCCTCCGAGGAACAGCCTCCTCGCTGGCACATCGCCCGGTGTCTGACTCTGATATTATTTGTAACGGTCCAAGCCCATCGCTAGCAGATATTGTCCTCTTTGGATTTTCCCTTTCGAGCTTTCCCTCAAGACTTTAAAACGTGTCTGCTAGGGAAAGGTTTCCACACCCTTATAAAAGGTGTTTCGTTCTCCTCTCCAACCGATGTGGGAGATCACAATAGGAAAGTTGGATTTCCACAATTTGATGCCTTGACAATTAAGCATTTTCCAATATCAGAATATGCATAACAATGATTGTTTATCAGCAATGTGCACAGAGCATATGCCTACTTGAACTTAACCATCGTTTCCTTATGGTATATCAGTACTAATACTACAGTCAAGAACAGAATATGCATAACAATCATTGTTTATCCAATAAATCATGTGATAACTTGTCAAAATTCTAACTAAAAAATTCACAAAAGTTCTGTTTTCTTTCTTTCTGAATTCAATCACGAACGAATAACGAATCAAACCATCCATCTTTAAAACGATAACGATTGTTATATCTATTGAATTATACTTGGATTAACTATTGATCTATGTTAATCTAATAGCGATTATGACACTTATCACTTAAAATCAATGAGATCAAAGTGCTTTTGCAAAAAAGTGAAGAAAAGATTAAAAGTGCCCCACAAACATGAGCGTTATGGCCCAAAAGCACTAGCAGAATCAAATTATCAAAACATTTGGTATTTGCTAAAAAAAACTTAACGCACCCAAGCCCAAGAGTTAAATCATAAACTAAAAGCATTCCCCCTGTAGTAATGAGTTGCCTTATTTGGATTCCTAACATGGATAAACTTTCTTTTCCTCGATCAGAGCAAAACTTATCGCGTAGCATCCTAAATTTAGTAGAAATCAATCAACTGCCCAAAGAAGAAACGAAGTCAACCACAAGAACAGCAAATCAGTGAACAAAAGAAATAGAACCTGATCAAGGCCGCGCTTAGCCGTTTCCGCCCATAATCGAAGCAAAGAAAAAGCGACTGCACCGGACAAGACACTGGCACAGATGTCGGAGACCACCGGATTATCAGGCAACAACATAGCCGCCGCAACTGGATACTGTTTCCGGCGGATTTTCAGATTGAAGTTCGACCGAAATCTGAAAACGAAGGAACCGGAGCGCAAGTTCGGCGCAGAGATGGAGTTTAAAGAGACGGAAAGTGTACTGAATCGTGACAGAAAAGATGGGGACCTGAGTGGATAAACGGTCAACAGACCCAACTGAGAACTAGCCATGGTGGGGGCTCGGCTAGAGCGTACACGCTGACGCCGGCGCGGGGGTTGAGCCTAAGGATTTAGCGAACCACCTGACGTGGACAGCTATGGTTCGTGTAATGTGTGAATTTGTGTAATTTTAATTTTGATGTCTAATTGAAAACTTTGTTAAATTAAAAAAATATAACAAAATTAATTAGTCAACAGAAAATGACAAAATTATTAATCTTAAAGTATTAAAATATATAATCTATCCATAAAATTTCACTCTTAATCTTCATTAAAAATTAATTTAAATATATTCCTCAATAATTGGTTACCAAGCAATTGTTATATGTCGTAATTATTGTTCTTTATTTTTACTGCTCCCACCAAATTTGCAATTATTTAATAATTATTAATATTTTATTTTTCAATAATGTAGAACCTAATAAATTCAATAATATTCCATAAATAAAAATGTAATTTTTAAAATAAAGAAATATATATATTTAATATAAAAAGTGAGCTTTGCGGAGATTTGGCGGGATCGAGAGCTACATAATTAAAGAGAATACGATCTTTATCTTCTATCTCGTTTAGCTAAAGAAAAAAATCTCATATCATTTTCTGTGATGACATGTCACTGTGTCAATCGCAACGTTCAAATTCTAGATGGCTTGACAGTGACGTGACAATCATGGAGCTACAAGAAGTCGAAACATGTGGTTTAAAATATATATATATATATATATATATATATAGCGTTCATCTTGAATCACGTGAGTAGCTCGCCCGGCTAATATTTTCGACGGGATCTTTTTTCAATTAAATTAAAATCCCAAAATTCTTTCCATTCAATCTCCACGGTCAAATTCTTTTACCCTAAATTCAATGGCTGTTATTCAATCCTTTCAACTTAAGAATTAGAGCCATATTAATCTTAAATCCATAATAATAATAATAATATAAAAAATTGAGCAAAATTATATTTCTATTAAAAGAAAAAAACTAAAAACAATAAATGTAGGGAAAATGACTTCAGAATAAAAATAAAAATATATAAAAAAAATCCAAATGTGGAAATTGGTTATAACTTAATTGACAAGGAAAAAAAAGGTAAATATTAAATTTAAATATCTCATTCTATTTGCATTATTTATTTATTTATTTATATATATATATATATATATATATATATATAATAAAAATATGGTTTAGATAACTAACAACTTCACCGTCCAACTCATATGTTTTGGGTCGGGTCATAAATTAATTTAGATTAAATTATGTTAATTTTTTTTGGATTGGTTTATTTCGACCCATCTCTTACCCTACCACATAGTCTAAATCATTTAATAATAATAATTAAAAATTTCAATTTCTCCTCCTTTCCTTTAAATTTATACTGAAATTTAAAATAATAATATTTTATATGAATTAGAGGGAGTTAATAATTTTTGTTGTTATGCAAAATAAACAAACTACAATTACAACAAATAAAATTGAATATTATAAAATTAATTCAAATTTTATTATTTTCAGGAAAAATAATAAAATATATTAACAAATATGTCATTTTTTTGTTTACTAATGGTCCTATAAGGAATCAGTTAGAACGATTTTATAGAAGTTAGGAACATGTTTTTTTTGACTTTTGATATTAATTTAAATTTATATATCATTCATTTTACCTATAAATTTATTTATTTTTTAATTTGGATAAAAATTATATTCTTGTTCAAACTTTTACAAAATGAATTAATTATGACTTTAATATATATTTTTAAAAATAGAAATTTTATGTTATTTATTTAAATTATAAATTTAACCTGGATAGTTTTCAAATTTTAAAAAGTGGACTAAACAAGTTATGAAAAAAAAAAAAAATATATATATATATATATATATATATATATATATATATTGTTACTTTAATAAATATAATGGTTAAAAATTGAAATAAAATAATAATTAATATCTTATATATATATATATATATATATATATATATATATATATATTCAGAATATTATTTTATATAGATTTTGGATAATTTACCCACATAGTAATTATCACTTAATTGAGGACAGGTTGGCATCTTAAGTTTTTTTGCACAACTCAGCTGTTCGTTTGGTGCATTTATGTTTTTGTCTTTAATTTATTTTATTTGGGCGCCCCCAGATTTTGTAGAAACTATTCACCAAAAAAGGACACCATAACTGCCTTTTTATTTTTACATTCAAATTTTTTATTTTTTTTAATCTTAATTTCTACTTTAAAACTTTTAATTTTGTGTTTAATTAATATTTAAATTTTAGAGAAAAAATGAGAAAATAATTTTCGCAGTCGAAAAATCAGCTGTTACGATAGGTTATATGGAATTTTAGTATAAGGCTTTTAAGTATGTTTGTGTCGTTTGGTTCGGACATTGTGTGAGGATTATTAAGGATTCAACAACTATTCTCTAGCCGTCGACTTGTAAAGGTTACTTTTTGCATGCATATGATTTGATTTGATTTTGTCGTGTCCTACACGAGAACATATAGGGTCATTCCTAGCATGTTTTATGATATAAAGTGAAACCGTTGCATGTACATGATATGATTCTACTAGGTTTGTGCCTATACGATAATGTATAAGGTCAAATCCTTACTAAATTCTACTAGAGTCGTGCTCTAACGATATGAGCTTGTATGTAATATCACGACATGTATATTATATGATTGATCTAACCCAAATATAAGATCGCTACGTTTGATAAAAATTATATTTATCATTTAAAAAAAACATATATATTTTCACCTATATTTCATATTAAAAAAACATATGAAATTTAGAGAATAAACCGATAATAAAAACTATAAAATTAATGCAATAATTAAAATCACAACAATATTTTTTTAAAAAAGTAAAATTTATTTACTTTAGTAAAAAGATGAGCTTATACATATTTATTATTTTTATTAGAAAATTAATAAATAATATTTTTAAATTTTAGTCATTGATTAAAATTTCGAAAATACAAATATCGATACATATCAACTTATTTAAAGTTATCCATATATTAAACTAATAATTATTATTTTTTATTTTTTTATATTGTTTATTCATAAATGGTCTTAACGACTTTTAAGTAAAACTCCTACGAATAAAATTTTAAGAATTAGTAAATTAAATATTTTTTTTACTAATAATTAATATATCTTATATATTAAACCGTTCACAAAAAAATTAATTAATTAATCATTTTAACAGGTGGTTGTGAGAGAACATTATGAACCTACAAATTATAAGCGGTAATGATGTAAAATTAATTTTTATTCATTAACCATAAAACACTTGACAATACACTTAAAAAGGTCAACAAGACCATGGTTCAGTTGTTTATAACTATAGGTGGGTCAAAAGTCTATTTTATCATTGTAATTTCATCGTACCCTTAAGTACGTTCTATAATGAACAATTTGTCTATGATCCAACCATAAACTAAGTTTCTCCCGAGGGGTGAGTCACATTATTCAAGAATCAAAATTAACAGTTAATAAATTACTCGTCTACTTACTGTGTATGGGAAGGAGTGAAGTTTATTTTACATATTTTTTAAATCGAGGGTCGTCAATGCAAGAGGAAGAGGAAATATTTAATCGACCCGAAAAGGGCTTTGTACATATCTCATTGCCATTCACCAATGCATGAAGAAACCCTCGTCCTCTAGTGAAGATAAGTGGAATGATTATCTCGAGAGAGAGATGGGGAGGTTGCATGAAACAACCCGCCAATTTTAGAACCGCTATCACATGTATATTATGACTCTTACGAAATTTCCATGACCTTGCATCAAACGTCGTTACCTATCCTACAACTCCTTGTTCTTATCGGAAATAAAAACGTTACGAAATCAAGCCTGAGTAATAATAAAATATGATATTCGTTATTTCATTAGACCTAAAACCATGACCTTAGGCTCCATTCCTTTCGTGCTCGGATATGTATCACTTTTATACACACATTTTTCTAGGCAACAATTTATGTCATAAAGTCTGTAATTCCGAGCAGTGACGGAGATAAAATTGGGTGTGATATGCCGGTAACATTATTAATATACCCAACTTTGTAATTATCCGAATGAATTGACCTGATTGTTCGATTCTGTGGGTTAGCTTGTACGTTTAGTCTCGTGGATTTTAAAGCAACCCTAAAATTATGAAATAAAATTTTAAAATATAAATATACCCCACATGGATTGCCCATAGAAATGCCCTAGTTTGTTTAAATAAATAAATAAATAAATAAAGTAGAAAAAGAATGGTAATAAGGAAAAGGGGGGAGAGTTAGAAAGAGAGAAGGAAAGCTGGCACGCGGAGTTCCGTTGGTAACGAAGGGAAAGAGGGCGCAGGCTCGTGCATGGGTTGCAACTGTGATGATTATAATACCAAATTTGGGTTTCAAAATTTCCCAAACCAAATTAAATGAAAGCATCTTCCTCGTGCATTCAAATTTCATATAAACACAAAATTTGACAGCTTTTTCTGTTTTTCTTTTTAGCTTCTTCTCCTAATTTTAATCAATAATTTTCCCCTTATACCCCTCTTCTTTCTTTTATTTACTTTTTAGTCCTTCAACGTCTCTATCTCGTGTTTGGTAAATTCTCATAACAACGTAGAGATTTTTACCTAGTAGACTCGTTTTAAAACTGTAAGGCTGATGACGATACGTATTGGGCCAAAACAGACAATATCTGTTATAAATGGTATATGAGCCGAACATCGAGCGATATGTCAACGAGAACGTTGGGCCTCAAAGGGGGTGGATTGTGAGATCCCACAAACATTTCTCATAAGGGTGTGGAAACTTTTAAAACCATGAGACTGACTGCGATACGCAAGAGGCCAAGGCTTGAGTTATTACAAATGATATCAAAACTAGATACAAGACTGTGTGTCAGCAAGGATAATGGCCTCCTATGGGGTAGATTGTGAGATCTCACGTCGGTTAGAGAGGGAAACAAAACATTTCTCGTAAGGGTGTGGAGACCTCTCTCTACTAGACACATTTTAAAACTATGAGGCTGACGGCGATACATAACAGGCCAAAGTGGACAATACTTTCGTATTATTATTTTAGTTCAATAATAATGGAGATGAGAGTTCAAACTTTCGATCCGATATAAATGTTTTCAGTTGAGTTATGCTCAAATTAAATAATTTATTGGTAAAGTTTATATTTAATGATTATTAAAATATTGTTGAATTTAATTTATTAAGAAATATTGAATGTTACGTTTGTAAATAAATTAAAGGTGTTTAATATAGTATTAAAAAAAAACAAAATCTTGATTTTGTTCTTACATTTTTATCACTTGTAAAAACGATTTAAATTTGTCATTGGAAATTATATTAAAATTTTAAAAAAATTAAAACAATTTCATTTATTTATTATTATTTAACACATAAAAATGAGAATTTATAATTTATGGACATGTATAATTTCGATTAATAGCAAAATATTTCCCTATAACGGTCCTCGCGATCGGCAACTTATTGACTATCGTCGTCTTCTTCTCTTTATCTTTTTTTCTTTTCCACGTGCCATTTTTTAATTTCGACATATTTATTACGATCCATAGATTTCCCGCTTAAACGTCATATTCAATAGATACATCATATTACTCATTTTCAAATTCATCGTCAAAATCCGATCCACGTGGCTCAAACACAATAGCAGAATGTAATATCTACTAAAAAGCTCGCCCGTAAAAATCAAAACTTTTAACAATAATCGACGTAAAAATTAGAAATAAAAGAAATAATTAATGAAATATTATATTAGAGGTGGGTAGGAGAAATAAAAGTATATAAGGAATATATGGTAAAGTTTGGTGTTTTTTCCGTGTATAAATTGAGGGCCAGACAAACATTTTATAAACTCCATTTTTGTTCAAAATTAAAGCTTTTTTTTTTTCTCTCGGATTCTGTGGGAGAAAGATCAGTAAGAAAAAACCCATTTTAATAATTATTACATAAAAAATATTTTGAAATTTAAAAAAAAATTAATTGTTTTTTGTTCTTAATTTTCTCATCATGTTCTTGGCTTCAATTTGTTCTTGGATTTGTTTCAGATGGAAGATTATAATTTGGAGAAAAATCATCATCCATGCAACTTTCAAGGGATTATGGAGATGTGTTCTGCGACTGTTTCGAACTCGCCGAGTAACGGCGGCGCCGACGACCGTCGTGTAATGAACGATAATTCGGTGTCGGCGTGGCGGAGGTCTTTTGTGGTGGGTAGTCAAGATGAAGCAGCGAGCAGCGGCGCGAAGGTGGCGGATGGTCGGTGGAGTAATGGGTTGTCTCGTTTCAGTAAGATTGGCGGCGGAGAGATGAGCTCCAGCGACGGTAAGGGGAATGTCGGCGACGGCGGGAATTCTGAGCAGATCTTGTTTGGTCGGAGTGTTGACCCTAATATGGATCCGAGGAAACTCAAACGGTGAACCCATTTTTTTTTTTTTCATTTTGGATTTAATTTTATGTTTGGATTTTTAAATTTAACAAACAATTTTGGAAATTTTTTAAAATTTTGGTCGGATTTTTTTTTTTTTTTTTTTTAAATTTTATACTAAAAAATAAGCTTTTAATCAAATAATTATCAAACAGAGTGGTCTGCTCGTACTGATTCGTATACTCTTTTTTTTTTCTCTTTCAATTAGGGTTTATTTCAAGCTGTCGAACAGTCTGCTCATAGAACGTTTCTTCTTTCTTTTTTATAAGCAGTTTTTTTCTTTTTTCTAATTAGGATTTTTTTTTCTCGTAGAATAATGTCGAATCGTGTTTCAGCTCAAAAATCAAGGCTGAAAAAGGTTCAATATGTAGCAGACATGGAAAGGAAGCTGAAAGCCTTGGAGGTATTTTTTTTCATACTGGCTTAGAATGGTTCATTTTTTCACAATTTTTTTATTTTCCCAAGGTTTAAAAATTCTTCATATATTTAAATTTATTAACGAAAATAATGAAAAATAAATATAAAAAATTTTGAATTTAGGAATTAAAACTTTAATTTAAATTTTCAATTTCTTGAATTTGAAATTTTATATTATGATTTTTCGATTTTCGACCGTTGAAATGTTCTTATTCCCATTTCTAAATTTTATAGAAATTAATTTTAGTCGTTATACACTTAATGATTAAAAATAATTTAAATTTGTTAAATTAAAAAAAAATATATATATATTGGATGATGACGTTTAGATCAAAACAAGACACGTCAATCAAATTAAAGTACATGTCGATCATGTAGATGAATCAACACAAAATGTATTTAATTCGAATATTAACTAAACCTCAAATAATTTGGTAACTTCTAATGTGCTTTTAGCCAATAAAGCTCGTTTGGCGTATCTTTTGTGAAAGAAAATATTTTAAAAGTCATCTTGAGCTCTCGTTGAAACACGACTCGATTTATGCAAATATCAATAAAATAATATATATATATATATATATATATATATATATACACATGTGATTATTATTGCAGGCACATATAGCAATTCTATCTCCTCAAGTGGAGCTGTACAAAAACCAGCAGCAAGTGTTGCAAATGGAGCAAAAGACGTTGAATCAGAAGATTTTGTGTTGCTCGAGGAACAAGCTCATGAGAGACGGTGACGTTTTGAATTTATTCAATTTTATGTTTTTTTTTTTAAATTTTATTTTACATATATTTGATTAAATAGGATCGTCCACCTACCGGAGTTTTTTATCCTCTGTCCCTGAATCATTACAAATTATGTTATCTCCGTAAAATTTTACGGGCACGAAGTAATATTTAACTGTTTTTTTTTAGTTTATCGACGTTTGGAAGTAGCTATTACTCGTGTTAATATTTGGTCGGGTATGTTATGCAGCTGAAATTGAAGAAAACAAAGCTGAACTGAACAGGCTGAGGGAGCTCCATATGAAGCAGCAGCAGCAGCAGGCTGAAGCCGCCTGGGAGACTGCTTTCCAAATGCCGGCGGACCTTCATGCATCTGAGTTGAGCAACGTGGTCTCTCCCCCTCCCAATCAAGGTAAATTTTATTCCACTTTTAACCTTGTTTTGATCGTTATGAGTTTAATATTTTCATCCCCCGAACATCCGAACCTCTTAGATGTCAACCTACTACACTGTTTTTGTTACTATTCGATGGATAACTTGGCTAATCTATAATTTATAAACTTTTAGGATCTGAATAGTTATAGCTTATCTTTAGAGAGTAACTGAGCTAATCTATAATTTGTAAACTTTTAGGATTGAGTCAGTTATAACTATTCTTTAGAGGTAACCAAGCTAATCTTTAATTTGTGAACTTTTAGGATTTGGGATGTCATAATTGTTTTTTAGAGGGTAACCGAGGTAATCTATAATTTGTAAACTTTTAGAATCTGGGTTGTTATAACTGTACTTCTGAGGATAACCGAACTAATCTATAATTTATGAACTTTTAGGATCTGGGTCGTTATAACTATTCTTTAGAGGGTAACCGAGCTAATCTATAATTTGTGAACTTTTAGGATCTGGGTCGTTATAATTATTCTTTAGAGGACAATTGAGCTAATCTATAATTTGTGAACTTTTAAGATCTAGGTAGTTATAATGTTCTTTAGAGGGTAACTGAGCTAATCTATAATTTGTGAACTTTTAGGATCTGGGTCGTTATAACTCTTCTTTAAAAAGTATACGAGTTAATATATAATTTATGAACTTTTAGGATATGGGTCGTTATAACTGTTTGTTATATTTTAACAGTAACAGTGTTTAACGGTTCATAAGCTTTTAGGAAGACAAAAAAATTTACGGTTAAAATTGGAGAGGTTTTCTTAAGAAATTTTAAATAGGTGAATCACTTATTAACGAAAAAATTACTTTATACTTTTACCCCCAAAAATTTACTTTATTTTTAAGAAAGTTAATTTGACTTAAATATAATTGAATTAATCAAAATATTGATAATTAAAATTTGAATATTTGTCAATTTAAGCGTAAATATAGATAATAAATTAATAAATATACTGAATTATTTTTATTATGTTTTTTTTATGTCTGCAGTGGATAACGGAGAGAGAACAGTAGGAGGAGATGGGCTGGGTCGGTTCAACCCAGGAACCCGTTATAAAACGGAGTACAAGTGGATGCCAACACCTGGGCTTCGTCGAGTTTCTGAGCCCACTTCCAACCAATTGGGCCAACAACGAGTAGGAAAGCCCAACTAAAGCCAGTGGGCCAGATACTGGCCCCGGATTGACAACCGCAAATATAATAAATGAATTTGAGAACTTTTAAAAGAGTGAAATTATAAAAAAAAAAAAAAAAAAACTGTATCTAAACGATAAAATGGCATGGTATATTTCCAATTATAAATTCAGTTGGTTCCAAATTTAAATATCTGGGTGAATTGTATATTTTTAATTGTTTTAATTGATCTTTGATATTGTTAATTATAATTGTAATTACATATTTTTATTTAAAAAATAATTTATTTTTTGATTCGAGAGTTCGAACAATATGGTTTTGAACGTTCTTGTTGGATGATGGAAGTCCCGCATCGACTAATTTAGGGTGTGATCATAGGTTTATAAGTAAGGAATACTAACTTCATTGGTATGAGGCCTTTTGGGGAAGCCTAAAGCAAAGCCATGAGAGCTTACACTCATATAATGGACAATATCATATCATTGTGGAGAGTAGTGTTCATTTAATAGTTCTAAAAAACATGAAATTTTGAGTCGACCATGGTCAGTTTTCTCAACCCTATTTGTGTCTCGTACGTTGTGACCTTGTTATGCGTATATATGTACGGAGCAACAACGACCTTGAGGTGACAACTTTATTTTTAAAAACGAGGTATATTACTTGTGAATTATCCTAGATTAAGATTGTCTATCCTGATCCCAATTGACATGTAGAGATCCAAGAAATCATGTACCATTAGTGATGACCTAAAATACGATTTAATTTTTCCTATGTAATCAGACAGTAAATTTGAGCCCTAAATTATGATTGGTTTGCACGTTGATTTTTTTTGTTAGGTTAACTCGACGTGAAAACTTTACTTTCATTTATTATGAAAATTAAAAAAATATATAACGTTTGCAATTGTTAGTGATATGTTGTAATTAAAAAATGTTTGATAATTGAAATGTACTGTAGGTATATTTATGATAACGCGGGATAAATATAATTTTTTTTAGAATGAGATGTAAAAAACATAACTCAAATTCAACCCAATTCTGCATACCTTTAGCGGTAAAATAATGAAGAAAAAATATAAATTGGAGTGGAAGTTTTTAAGAATTTAAGGAAGAAATTGGCCTAAAAAACATGTTCAAAAGCAGTTTGATGATTAAGATACCCATTTTCTTTCGTTTTCTGAAATCTGAACTTTGAAAGTTCGTCGTGTGAAGAAGAACAGGGAGATTATCTGAAAATTATCTCATTTCAGCTGAAGCATACCAGTTGTTCCTGATTCTCTTTTCTCTCCTCGCAATTCTCGAATCATTTTCGTTTGTTTTTTCGTATTGTAACTTAACAAGAGAAATCTCTCTGACTTCTGCATTCCGCTGATCCAATTTGCATGATTTGAGCCGCGATTTACTCCATCAGATCTCTAATGGCGTCCTCCAGCAAGGCTGAATCTAATGGAGGAGATGAAGCCATGGAAGACGAGGAGGTGTGTTTTTCTACTTTTCTCCTGTTAACTCTTATTGATCATTCAACATCGTAAATTGCCTTCTTATGCTCCTCCTTGTTTTGGACCATAATAGCTTACGATAATGGCAATTTGCTTTGGCATTTCGATTCATTTTTCTTTTGAGGCACTCTGGAGGTTTATTGGTCTTTAGGAATGTACTGATCTCAATTTTAGCCGACCGGAGTATAGGAACTGAGTATTTTCTTCATTTGTGTGGCATTTGTTCAGGTTGAGCACTTCGATGATTTTACTATTGCGTCAACATGGGAAAGGTAGCTTCTCTAACCTCTTGATGAATCGAGATTACAGGAGTACTGTCTCTCGTCATTACTATGTATCTCTTTAGATTTTAAGTCCGATTGCAATTAAATTGAACACTAAACTCGCCGAGACTTTTCTCTATTTGGTGATGGAAAATGTACAAGTAGAAGCTCTCTGTACTAAACCTCTTTCAACTTGTAGAGTAAACTCTCCTTGAACTGAAGAGAAAGTTCTTCTATTAGGAGAGACTCGTTTCAATAGAGGACAATTTCTCAGTGGGCTAAAAAACAAGATAAAAGTAGAGGATATCATGATTTATTTTACCTCACTTTGTAAGTTGTATCAGGTGGAACTTGTTCTAATTGTCATGTTTATTTTCTCTTAAGATTCATTTCTGAAATAGAGGCAGTTTGTCGACAATGGATGTCTGATGGTCCAAATAATTTGTTGGTAAGTAATTTTTCTCTGAAGGCCATGCTCTTCCATCTTCTATGTTTCTGAAACTATTATACAAGATTACATTTCAATTATCCTGCAAATAGGTTATTTTGATATTGGGGGGAGATAATTTTCTTTGAATGTTCTCAATACCTCAAAAGCTTCACTTTTTGTTTTCCTTGCCTCCTAGAATAGGTGTATTATTATTAGCTTCATTATTTTGTATTTTTCTTTCATTCATTTATTTTCTAAAATTCTTCGCGGCATCTTCAGATGGAATTTGTTCGAAAAATTATTATTACCATTATTCAATAGAAAATAAAATGATGTCTGTATGATTATCTAGTTGGAAGGTTATCTTTTCTTTTCTCTTTTTTTGCCCGCCCATCATTGTTGCTGTTCATTGGGATGATTTATCCAATCCAATAGAGTATTTAAAGAGTCTTAGTGAAATATCTATCTACCACATTGCATATGATTTGCTATTCTTAAGAGCACGTCTGGCATTTTAGTATTCTTGGGTGGCCGCATGCAATTTTCTGCCGCCTATTTTCTTAATCACTTATCATTTTATTAATATATTTTTTATTTTTTAATAATTTCATGCTATTTTTATTACTTGTCTGCAGAAAAAGGATGCAACTCCGTTAGAAATCTCAACTAACCTATATAAGGTTAAATCTGATCTTAAGTGTGATAATAAAAACTATTCGATGGAGTATTACTTTGGAAATAGCAATCATGGTACTAGAGAATTCTCCCATAAAATTTATTAGTTTAGTTTCATGTGTTGACGAGCCACCATTATGCACTTACTTCTACTCGACAGGCAAAGTTGTGGACTGGGAATTAAGCTTGCATGAATTACAGTTATGCTTTGGGGTACAAGAGTTTTTGGTACGTTAGTACCCATGTTTTGCAGTTTGTATGAAATATTAATAAATTCACATATTTTATAGATATTTTCTATATATACCACCAGGTGATTGCTCCTCAAAGTATTAGTGGCGTAATTCTCGATTCACCTGAGGCCAGCAAGCTTTTAAGTGCAGTTGCCATTGCTTTGACAAACTGTTCCAGGTGGAGCTCTGATGTTGAAATTTCTTATATGGAACTCTTGATGAAGTGTTTTTTTTTAATGATCCATTAGATTAATAAACTCAAAAAGATTACAATCTTGTGGTAATTCATGGCCGCTGTTTGTTTGTTTCTTTTTTTTTTCCTGCTCTTTACCTGAACCTTTGACATTTTGATATTGGATAACATGCAAGATTTCTATAAAGTGTCTTGGACAATATCTATTTCTATGTGTGAATGCAGCTTTTGGCCAGCTTTTGTTCCAGTGCATGATCCATCGCGAAAAGCATATATTGGTATCCAAAATATGGGAACAACTTTTACTAGGAGATTTGAAGCAGATCGCATTGGTACCCAAGTGCCAATAAAACTTATGCATTTGGAAGGACTATATGAGTTGTTTGTTTCAAAGTTTGTAAGTTCTATGGATGCTTGTATTTCTTGCTAGTTTTTCTCAGACCATCACCTTAATTCTTGAACTTCACATTGTCACTATTGCACCTTCTCTTTTTCTTAGCATACCTGTTCATTTTTCCTTTACAACTAAGTTGTTTTTTTTTTTTTTTTTTTTTTTTTTTTTAAAATAAAAAAATTAGACTCTGATTTAACTTCACAAGAACACATAGGAGAGATATTTAAGGTCTGAAATATATTTTGGGCCTAGCGAACCAAATATTGTTTTATAGCTATGTCACAAGTAGGTATTTACAATTTATGAATTTTCCCCATCTTATATATTTCTCCATTAAAGTAAAAAAAGAATCTTGATGTGGGGTGAACTTATCTAATTTCCATGTAACCTCCTATTATTCGTTATATTCACATGTTTGATCTTTACAAATATCTTTCTTTTTTCTTTTCATACTTTTCTTTTGCCTGCTGCATATTAGAAGCTAGAGTTCTTAATGTAATTCTTAGTTTTCCCAAAACTATATAATTTTTCTCTTTTTGAAGGCCTACTCCTCCATGGACATTTCGATGAATCTCTTCAAAGTCCATTTTACCATGAAGCTGACCTTCAAAATTCTCTTATCTGATGATGACGACATCCGCAGAGATGATGCTGAGATGACAGAATCAGTATACGAAAGTGCCGTTGGTACTAGTGGAAAAGGGCAATGGGATGATGACTGCCCATGGAGTGAGTGGTATTCCTCGGAAGATCCTGTGAAAGGTGAAAATATTTAAGATATTATCTCTCATTCTCTCTTTGGCCATTTGAGGTTTGTGTATATATGATCATGTGATTAGGTTACCTCTGATATGCTGACATATTACTTCCTAAACAGCGATCAGAGTTTAAAATACCAGATATAATGGATTTGGCACCCATTATTTTGTTCAATTTATTTGAAGTTTTATGAGCTTACATGTTCAAATATTCCAAGTTGATAAATCTCCCTTCATTTAGGCAGAAGTAAAGGGAAACGAGAGAATTATATTATATAGTCTCATTTAACATGGAGGATAATAGCTCTTGGATGTGCACAGGATTTGAATTGATTGCCTCATGGTCAGAGAAGATGGTAGAGAGCTCCTTGGAAATGGCTGAGTTGGAAAATTCTTCACCTCATGAAGCTAAGAAATGGATTTTGTTTCCAATTCTATCACCAAATATGTAAGAAGTGCAATGTTTGGTTGGATATATAATTTTTTTTCCCGTAAAACCATGAACATACTTGTACGGTACACCATTATTTTGAAAGCTTGACAACAGATCAAAAAGAAAAATCTTAGCTCTTGACAAATAGAAAAAAGCTTCTATTTTTGTGATATTCTCATTTTTATGCTTAGATATGACTGTTCAATATATGACAGTACT